AGTCAAACGGCTTAACACGTGCGTGCAGCTCAAACCGACGATTACGCGTTTGAGGCGCTCAAAGCAGATGCACGCCGCGCACCAGGCGCTCGCTCTCCATTGGTCCGCGTTCGGCCAATGACGCGGCGGGGCGGGTTGAATCCGGGACCGCCGTTCGTCTAGGACCGTGCGTTTTGGGGTTGGCGTTGCGGGGGGTGGGGGGATCCTTCTGCCCTTTATTCTATAATTCCACTGTTTTTTTGCGTGACAAGTTTTCTGGTCCTCGGGTGCGTCGCTCGGGAAGGCAGTCGGAGCGAGTCTCTTCCGCCGGACGGAGGTGCGTGCGTGCGTGCTGCTTGTTATTATGAGGCGAGCATTATGCTCGTGTGTGTGTGTGCAGTGATTGGACGTAATTGTTTTCTACATGGAGGGCGCCACATCTGCGGAGGGTAAGCTCGATTTTATACTTAAAAGTTCTGTAACTGGCACTGGAGTCAGCCCCGAAAACTTTGTCGTGAAATAATCAGAGAGCACTGACGCACTGTCCGTTCTCTGGGTCGCTCGGCTGCAGCCCCGAGAGCCGTGGAATGACCCCGTGCGTCGGCGGTCATGACATCCACACTTAGAACTGCCTTACCTGAGATTTGAGGCGAATAATTCGGTCATCGTCGTAGTCTTTTCAATGGACCTGTTGCTTCTTTATTCGGGGTTGATAGAAATATAGCGTGAAAGTCGACCACGACGACGTGGTTGCTTTCCGTGCTCAAGTCTGGCAGAATTATGCATCACCCTGATGATGGTGGCATCAGGGACCTCTGAAACGTCTACTCGGCGCTACAACACGACGGAGGTGACCCCAGTTATGTAGCCTTCGCGTTTGAAGGTTAAGATCCTCGGGTTCGACGCGTACTGAGGCCCATAGTTAATTCTGATTCAGCGTTGTCGCGTCCCTCTCCACCTGAGCAGCGTCCACGCCCTAACGCCAGAATCACGTTTCGTTCTGTGATAGAAAAATACTGCAAAGGCCTTTTAATACCACGTGACCATTTAAGGCTGCTTATTCCAAATTGTTTTGTCAGTGAAGATGGCAGCTCACGGAGCAGAATCGTAGTAGGCTAGCTGAGCGTGATTTGCCCAAGTCGGCAATTTTCTTGCGCGATGTAAGTGGCCAGTAGGACTTTCAAAGATGTTTTCCCCATCGCTACAGAAAATCGACATTAGAGATTGGGGCGGAAGTGTCCGACCTCACGGAGTGGGCGCAGGGGCTGTGAGCTCCGGAGTTCGAGACAGGTCCGTCGTCTCCTGGGTTTGGGCACGAATGACGAATCCTCAGTTGACAGCAGCTGAGAAGCTTCTGGGCCGAGCTCTCGACTTTCAGACTCGTATTTTCCGCGCTTTAATGCAGATGTGACTGAAGTGGTTTATCATCCCAAAGTTTCATGTCGCGTGCATCGCCGTAGTGGAACGCGTGTGTCTTTGCAGTCGGGGAGCTTCCGCGCATCGCCTATGACCTGACACCGGGAAAGTGGAGGACTGTGACCGGCGCGGACTGTACCCGAGGCTCTCTGGGTTCTGTGGACCTGTAAATGTAAAGCATTACTTCCTGTTGTAGTTGAGGGAAAGATTTTTTCAACGCCCGCCAACCCTTGAAACCCCTCCTCTGATACGGAGCGTTGGTTTACCCTCTTCAACCCCTAAGCAGCGCCGCGTTAAGAAAGAAAAACGATGGGCCTCGGAAGGGGTGGGGGCACTTCCTGGAACCTGACACTGCCCGAAGGATACATCTTGCTGACGGGGAAGCTCGCAACAAAGCGCTCCGAAATTCGTGTCTTTGTGGGAACGTCGCAGGTAGAAAAGCCTTTGGCGGGAAAAGCGTTTTGACTCCTGCAGCTGCTGTTTTCTGGTGGTGGAACAGCGCCGAATTAAGACGCTTCTACGCGCACCGCAGAATATTTTCTGATATCGGCGTCGATTACGCAAAGAAACGGACGTGACGTCGAAATGTTGAGAATATTTGTCGCCTGAGCAAATTTCCAGCGATTTTCGCCGCGGTTACAGTGGACGGTGATGTCGGTTGTGATCTGTTCAGTCTTGTACGCGGTTTCTGTCTTCACGTTAAATGGAGCTCCTGTCAGTCACTGGACGGTGCCAAATTCTTTCAGTCATTCGTCAAACCCACGTGCAAGCAGAACGGAAAATTATTTTACATTTGAAGATGGCTGTTGTTTGGGTTGTTACGCCGTGATGATGGAGGCAGGAAGGACCTCCGAAAGGTCGGTAAACTTCTATCAGTCATACACGGCGCGCCTTGATCACCCCAAATCCAAGGAATTTCACATTTCTCAGACGCCGAATCAACTCTTATCGCGAAACCAATCTCTGAAGGTCCAACCGGGGAGGCTTCGTGTTCTGAGGGCAGGTAAAAGTCGGACTGCGGAGAAAAGGGAACGAATATTGAACAAGAAATGTTTCGGAATGTGGATTGGCTTTGACAGGCCTATTATTGGATGGATTCGGTGACAGGATTTTGCGTTTGTGGTGTTGAGAAGCTGATGGTTCATCACCGTCTTCACAAGAGCTTGTCCCATCTGCGCGCGTCCAAGTCTCTTGCGTACGCCTCGCCGACCCCCGGGTTGCCAACCCCAGTCACTGTGCGTCGCTCCCGCCGTGCATTTGATAAAGGGAGGGCTGCCCCACCTTCGGCCGTCCGATTCGGTACGTCAGAAACAAAACGAGGGTTTTCTCGCCGTTTGTTGCGCTTTGTGGATGGGGCCGGGCGGTGTCCGTCCGGCCTTGATAAATGCACGGTTTTTGTGAAACGCTGTATCAACTCCTTATTTTCGTAGATATTAAATTCGGTCACTCAAAATTACGCGTTACCCTTGGCTCCCCTCTCGCCCTTCTGTAGCGAAGGGCCCAGCGAGAAGTTCATGGGCAGTTCTTTTAAGAGCCATTTTTTGTATTATTCTGTCAAACACTCGGGATTTCTGACAATATCTGTGCTCTGCTTGCGTGCTACGTGCGTCGCCCATCTCGTCCCTGATTTGGTCATCCGTAATTTGGGCAGAAAACTTGGTGAAGCTGTAGAAAGATTTCTGTCTTCCGCGTTGTTGCGCCGTGTAATCTGGTAGAAGTTCACCGACGTTTCAGATGTAGTTTCTGCCTCCATGATCCTCGCCCTGATGATGGAGGCAGCCCGTACCTCAGAAACGGCAGTTAACTTCTACCAGACTAGCGACTGCAGAGGGGCGTAAGTCAGGTATTAAGGAACAGGGAAGAAATTTTAAACCGGTCCCTGGTACGAGGTGTCTCTCTCTCTCTCCTGAGGGTCATAGGTCAGCTGTGAGCAGCTTCTCCTTCCCAGTATCGTCCCCAAGTGATTCAGTAGTCTACATTTGCTTTTATCCGCTTTGCCGTGGTTCTGATTCAGAAGAGCTCTCGCGGCCTTGAAGATGTCCACGTACGTCGTGTGGACTTGCAGGCATATGACGTTTCGGAGGAAGATACTGCCTCCTTCGTCAGGGCTGAGAGAGCAATGGAGCTTACGCCGTGTCCGAATGAAGTTTACTCAACAGACGCAAGGATCGGGGTCCACTATTTTCAGTCGGGAGTGTACAGAACCCCTTAACGGTACCAGGGAGTAGAATACGTCTGGTAAGTAAGAATCCCTCGGCGTCACCAGCTCTTTACCTGATCTACCCTCCGAGCTTTGTACACACACAAATAAAGCAGCCCCGTGCGTAGTTCGTGGGACAAGTCGTGAATAATGCAGGTCTAACGAGGCAGCTCATCACATCGCAACTGAGTCTCATTGTTTCCCCCACCAAAATATTTATGAGGCCCGAAACGGTCGCTTGGCTTCACGGTCGAGATCTCCACGTGCGAGGAGACGAAGGAATGCGGGATGGGCAGGGCTTGTAGCGTGCGTGGGTACCGAATCCTGGAGGACACTTAGGCTTTGTTGGGTCCGAACGTGTTCCTGGTGGCGTTCGTTACGAGACTGGAAACTTTCAGGGGCAATTTTAATTATTTTGTTCTGACGTTTCAGAGGCCCTTGTTGCTCCCATCGTCAGGGCCTTGAAACTTACCGCGGAAGACGGCCGTTTTTTCTGGTCACGCCGCTTGTACTCATTTCTCCTTCGGACGTACCCTCAAAGTTTTGCATCAACGTCGCCGCTCATTCCGTCTTTGCCCACGGGACATATTCAGACTGCATTTGCAATCCAAATGTGGATCTGCAGAGCAAAAATGCCCCGAAAGGGCCTTAGCACCGAGGACCCGAGGAATGGCTCGCAGCTGATGAACTCAACTCTCGCGCTCCAAAATGTGAACGGTCCGCGTTACGGAAGGAATGCCACTTGGCGGGGGGAGGGAGGAGGAGGGCTAATTTTTAAACGTCTTGCGCCGAGGTGCGATCGGAGTCCTGTCTCCGGCATTACGACGACCGAAGTGATCACAGAGGTTGGTCGTGTTTACAAAAACTTTGGGGAAAAAAACAGCAAAGAGTGGGCCGGTTCGCTGCACCAGCGGGTCCACATTCTTCTGTGGAGTTCAAGGACGGACTCGTCGTCATTCATGTTGCTTTGCATCGCTGTGTAGGAAGTGACGTATAGCACCCAAGTAAGTGAATACCAAGCGAGGCGCTGCCTGGAGTCAGTTGTCCTTCGGGAGCGTCGCCCTCCGCGAGTTCTTCCAGACGACACTGGCACTGAGAGACGCTAGCATTTGCTCAGCTCGTCAAGCGACGTCGAACCACGGCTTTGCAGTGTATTTTTCTCTCTTTCAAAATCACTCCCTCATTCTCCGACGCGAGTCTTCGACTCTCGAGTAGTGCCCGCACACAATAACACGTCACGTTCTGCAGACTCCGGCCTGAATTCCTCTCAGACCCCAAAAGATTTCTGGAGTGAAGGCCATCATTAAAGAGTCTTTGGACACTCGCCATTCAGTCCTGAGGATGGCATCACCAGTGGCGTAACGTTCGCACGCCAAAGGTACAGGAACTGTGTGTGTGTTTGCAGGAGCCTATGGGCCGGCGGTTGCAGGAGTGCCTGAGACGAAGCCCGAGAAGCGAAGGGGTCGGTGCAAGTGGTTCAATGTGGCGAAGGGCTGGGGGTTCATCACCCCTCACGACGGCGGCCAAGACGTGTTCGTGCATCAGGTCAGTAATGCGCCCTCATCCTCCTTATAACACGCGCCGAATCAAATCACGTGGTTTTTCAGGGGAAAACAAAATTTTTGCTGTCCTTGACCCGCGTCAATTTATCAATAAATTTTAGAATTTGAAGGAGTGCGTCTTAAAATCAAGGAAATTCGGTACTTACGTTTATTTTACGTTACATTCACATCTGATTGCATTTTTAATACCGAAAAATAAATTTGTAAACGTAGCCGCCGAGTTGTTAGCATTCGTGCTTCGCATTTTGGTGTTCCGGGTTCAAATCTCGACTCGGAGACCGGCAGAGTCGGGTTGCCCGTTAAATTGGGCGATTTAAAAGGGCACAAGGAGCAAAACAGACTGAAAATTTGAAAATAAAATGCGTGATTGGTCGAAAGTGTGATTGATGGTCTGTACCAAAGCAAAGAAGATTTGAAATTAACTTTTTTTGTATATAAACGATGTTCGACTCGGTTCACATGGCCGTGCGTCAGAGTCTGATTGATTGATTGATTGATTGCGCAGAGTGTGATCCAGATGTCTGGGTTCCGGAGTCTTGGGGATGAAGAGGACGTGGAATTCGAGTGCAAAGTGTCTGACAAAGGCCTGGAGGCCACGTGCGTGACAGGTCCCGAAGGTTCCGACTGCAACGGCTCGCATCGACGTCCTGTCTCGAAGAAACGATTTCGGAGGATACGGTGAGTGCACCGTGTTTCGAAGCACGGACACTTAGGTTTCAGGAGTATTTTCTTTTGGTCAGTGGAAGCTTCTCGCAGCATCTTTTGTCATGTTGACTTCTTAGCCATTAATTCCTGGTCGTGTTACTATGTAGGTGCTATAATTGTGGTGAATTCGCAAACCACATTGCTGCGAAATGTACAATGGGTCCACAGCCGAAACGGTGCCATCATTGCAAATCTCAGGAGCACCTTATTGCTGACTGCCCTGCACGTTCAGATCGTAACAAGAAGGCGGTGGCTTCATTCAGCGGAGAGGCAGAACAGGTATCAGGAGAGGTGCTGCCTCAAGTGACAGAGGCGGGTAAGTAGGACCAGACGGCAAGGAGCAGAAGACGGCTACAGAATGAAGCTCCAGTTTGCCGTAACAGATGGCGTTACTGTGACCACTGACTCTGCCATCTACCGCCATCGTTGCGAAACTAAATGTGGGTTGTAGTTTCCAAATTATGCTGTTTTATGTGTAATTTGCTATTTTGTACTCTGCAGCTTAACCACCCATGTATGAACAGTTTCTGATATGTAAATTAAAATTATATTAGGTTTGGCGTCCATCACAGCAATAAAGCAACATGCTGACATATCACTACTTCCAGGGAAAGCTGTGAACAAAATGTACATCTGGGAATTTATAGAAGGCCTTACAAATTTCGAGTTGTCTCAAGAATAATGTAAATAATGTTGAATCATCTAGTTTGTAATAGTTTCATAATCTTAGATCAGTTGCACCAGAAAGACCTCAACTGCTAACATTTTTACAAGCTTCTCTATTACTGAGAGTTTTCAGAGACAGAGAAGTATTTATTACTTCGCAACTAAAAGGTTCTGTAAGTTTCCCACAGATGTCAGTAGTTGGATTAGTCTGACTGCGGTGATTGATTTTCATGCGTTAATGAGGCTTTTCTGGAAGCACGCAGCACTTAGAGCGCTATTTTAAATGTGTCCTGAAGTTGTTCATATCAGTAGCAATACTAATTTATTAAGTGCTAGGTGAACTACATATCCTTTCGCTGAAAGTAGTGGTATAAAAACTATATACTGGAAGTAAAATACAATTACAACGTACTTTGGCGGAAGTTAAAAAAGTGCAATTTATTTATGGAGAAAAATATTACATCATCATTAATTTATTTTGTAGTAACGAAGAAGAAAAAACAAATCATTACGCTGCAATACTACGCTATGCGATGGCGATAGAAGTGCCATTACTTACAAATTTAAGGTAAACTGCGGTGCTGTGCATTCGACAGCGTCCTGTCTCAACGTCATACGAGCAAAGTCAAACGATGGTCCTATGTTTATCTGAAGGTTTAATTAGTTAATCAGTTCAAATATTGAAATTTAAATATGAACTGAAGGAGAGACATGATTTTTACCATTTACCACACGCTGCCTTTTTTGTTTTCTGTAGGAAGAGACTCTAAAATAACTTCCTCCTTTTGTTCTTGAGATGGATCCTGCCGTACCATTGGGCACTTTTATTGATCTAGATTTCTGAAGATTGCGCAAGTTTTCATACGGGGTGTGACGCAAGCAGTCTTCATTTGGTTAAGTAACTGATAGGGAGCAAACTATTCCATTAAGTTAAGTCATTGTCCATTTAATAATTTGCCTTCCAGCGACTCTACAGAACTTGGCAGTTAAGCCATTTTCAACATTCAAAATATTGCTAAAAGTGTTTCCACAATTCACTCTTTCTGCGCTACGATCTTCAGTCCAGAAGCGTTGGATCACATTCTCTTGACGCGTCAGTTCTCGTTGGAGGCAAGACCCATTTCTTGAATTTAAAAATACATTGTTTTATTAATTTTTAAAATAGTATCTTGGTTCTGCATCTGCTATTCTACGGAAATCAAGGAAAATAATTGGTAATAGTTACTAATAGCAAACTTCAGTTACTATATAAGACCAATAATAATCGTACTTCCTTTTAATAAAATGTGTTCACAAAAACTATTTTGTACTTAACTGTTATGTAAAAATTAACCAGACTTTTCAATTTTTGTTTTTATTATGGTACATGTTCCTAATGTACAGTATTTTGCGAACACATGATTTGAACGTACCGTGCTAGTTTTGTCACCCTTTAATGTACAAAATGTAATAGACTAACATGGCAGGGATGTTTGTGTGAATGCGTTTCCAAGAGAGAGAGAGAGAGGCTGTTTGCAGATGCGTTCCTGTAATAACGTTTCAGAAGTTTCAGTACTCGGACAGAAAAACGTGGGTGGTTCGGTGGTGTCCATGCGTATATTTAGGTTAGGATTTGTGAGTCATGACATTGTGAGAACAAGCTCTGTTTTCAGAAGTTCTGGAACACTGGTTTCTTCTAGGCATGGTCCCATGAGATCACCCATTTCAATTCTTACAGTCCCACCAAGTTATAAACCCGTCAGCATGCGAGCACCTCTTGTTATGTCCTAGGCAGATGAACCAGATATGTGCTACCTGCAGACTTCCTGGTAGGGGCATAGGATTCCAAACAAACAACATTTTGGAAACACGTTCTGATCAGAATACTAGCCAACGGATAATGCCCAGAAATATTCCTTTGTCAGAAGCCTTTAGGTTTTATATATACATTTACATTTCAGTGTTCAGTGTTTTGTAAGTACAGTGGAAGTTCGTCTAATTGACATAGTTATGATGTTATTTTTCACAAAATTTATGTGAGATTGTCTTCCTGCCATTGACTCTTATAAAGCATTGCTCGAACACTCACCAAACCACTCTGCAACACAATATTGCATTTAATTTCAACGAGACTGAAACATTGGGATATCTGAGGTGTTTGGGACCAAGTAAGTGAGAATACGCCAGTCTGTCTCCCGAAGGAACCGAGCAGTCTGGCTCATTTTTCAGAAACGAACTTGTGCTGGAAATTGTGTGAGAGTAGAAAGTATGGATGTAATTTGTAAGATGTTAACCTACGTGATGTTCAGCAAATAACATTCAAGGGTGTGTTGCACTCGTAAGTATTACTTTGAATTTGATGTTCAACAGACCAAGAAGTGATGGACAAACCCTCGGTCCGCGCGCATGTTTCTTAGAGTGACGGATAACTTATTTGTGGTGATATTCTTCCACGTGTCCAATTCCTGCAGATAAGAAATCAGATCTCAGTGTACGAACCCACCGGCCACTTTTGATTTCACAATATCATCATGTCTTCGCACTGGCTGTGTCGTGAAGCTGGTACAAGTGCGTCAGTTGTTCTAGTGAAATAGAGGTTTGTCCGTTATTCATCCTTTTTTATTTTTTATTTCTATGTTGAAGTAATATATATGTTTGTAATACAGCTCAGGGCATTCCTTATTGAACACTTCACAGATTACCAGTCCTAGTTTCCTAGAATGGATGTTGCTATTAGAAAGCATGACAGATGAGTTATTCACTTGAAGTAAATAACAGGATTCTACATTTACAAAACTGTGTCATGAACGCTGTGTTAGACTAGCTCAATAAAGCTTGAGTGTTGACCACAGACCAGCTATTTCAAAAAATTGGAAGGAAGACTTGAAACACCACCGGCTCATCCATTTTGCTATTGGACAGATAAACGAATTTTATCTCTGTGGGATCTGAAGTGCTCAGCGTGGTAAATATGAACATAGCTGCCTTCTGGGTTGTAGCGCCAAGTATTCTGGTAGAAGTTTGCCAGCATTTCAGAGGTCTTGTTGCCTCCATCAAAAGGGCAGTGAGTGAAAGTTTACTAAAGGTTCTCTCTTATATACTGTCTCATAGCACACAAATCTTGTTATTTAAATTGTCATATTCATATTAACAAAGATTATTTAAAGGTGCTCATACACCCAGCCTCCTCAGAAAGTTCAGAGACTGAACCTAACCTAAAAGCACTGTATTTACATGTATCAGATGTTAATTCCCTTTAAAGTAGGCCCCTACTAGTGCTGGAAGCAGCTCTGAAACTCAGTTTTATGAAATTGCAAATGGCTACTACATTACATTGTTTTGTTCATTTTTTTTACAAAGTTTAGGGACCAGTAAAATGGATGAGAAAGAAGGCTGACTCACTTGTGGAGTACATTTAGTTAAAACCTGTCACACAGGTTAGCTGAGTGAACAGGTATACTGTCCTCTTGCACTATTCCTGATGCCCTGTCATTCTGACCATATTAAGTGCAAAATACATTGGGAGGTATGAGTACTGCCCCTTTCAATACAATTTTTAGGTTAGGACATTTCTCTAATACATAGACTAGGTGTGTTGGTGTAAACACACTTTAATGTAATATGCTTTTGTTGAAAGATTTTGTATTGAAATTAGCATATAGTATTTTATTTATAATATTTAATTATGACACAGTTTTGATTGTATCTTTTGCAAATAATTAATTATACGTATTTATTATGTAACATTTATTGATAATTGTCACATTTTCGTTTGGAAACATTGTACTACAGGATTGTGAAGTATCCTGCTAAATCAGATGTAAGTGTGTGTGTGCGCGTTTTTATACATTTTATGAAAATTGTGTTATGGTGACACTGAGTAGGTATGAAGAAAACTTAAACTTTATTCTTTCATAGTGGAATTTTTGTGTGTGTATGGGTTTATTTTGACAGTTTTCTTGACAATACTCATTTTAAATGCTCATCAAGGCCTTGGTTACGTGAAATGTGTGTATAGGTTAGGGCTTAGATTGAACTTCAGTCCACCTCAGTATAATAGAGTTTCAACAACAGCCAGCAAACGCAACATTTAACTACAATAATTATTGTCTTGGAATTACGTCCTTAACATATTTGGTTTTGCTGCCAAGTGAGAAGTGAAATTCAATATTCGTTTCAAATAAGGTGTGTTGGGCTTGCCGATTTCACGTAGCGCTTCGAGAGCGCACGTGATCTATAAACCAGTACTTAATATTTTATAAATGCTTTATTTGGATATGAAAGATCACATGTTCAGTGTTATCACCATTGGCACTTACGAAGTGAAGAGGTTACTAGATGTTCCCGGCAAAATTTTTAATAACGGGATCTGTACGTGGTAGTTTGAGTGTTGTGTGAAACTGTAGCTGCCAATTGTTTTTGTACTTCTGAATCTAGCCCTGCATTTTGAAACTTTACGTGATTCTTACATAACTGCTTCATATTTCTTGTATATTATCCTTTTTTAGTGTCCACACTTCATGAAACCAAGGCTCTGGGTTTATAAAGAAATAAGTTCATAATCAAGGTTCCTAAATGAAAGACTTCTTTTATTAAGCACTACCTCATGAGAGAAGAAACACCTCTGAGATTTCCAAGTACAAAGGTCCATTGGAAACGCTTTATCTTAGGTACGCTATGATTCTGTACCTCATCATTATTGATGGGGCGGAATATTGACCTGTGATAGATAGGTACAGGTTTGCTGCTCCAGTAACTTGGGACCGGCGGCTACTAATTTCAGTGCGGTGATCTTTATTATCACATGTTCTCGTATAGTCAGTCTGAAAATTTATATGTTCAGATGCATTCATAATACATTTTGTGAATCTGCATAGTCTCCTTTGTTCGGTGGAAATTCGTGGTTGATTTTAAGTGATGTTTTAATTTCTGCATCAAAGTTATCTGTTATTTTGAGGACAGTACTATGTTGCAAGATGCCAGGTCTTATCTGGATGTCATTTGCATCTGCATTACAAATTGCTTCAGTGGGCTGAGATAAAAAGGCACGGATCAATCCGCGCCTTTGTTTCAGAATCTGTTGTAAACAAGCAATTGTTCTTTTATAGCTGCAAAAAATGTTTTATGCTTTTTACTGTTCTCTTATAATGTTGCATTTTTTTTTTTTGCTAAATAATTTAAAATGAAACTAACTTTGTGGAAATTCATTATAAGTTTTTGGGACAAACAACACTGTCAAGAAACAGTTCTCGGTTACTTTCCCTTTCTTAGAACACATGCTTGTGAACATTCTACTATTAGCAATATTATAACAGGGTATTTAAAGCAGACGTGCAGCAAATGTCGCTGTGGATTGTACACTTACGTTTTGATAGGTGTAAGCATTTCCTACATATGGGTATACTACTATTATAGTTCTGTAGATATATTGTAGTTTGTACGGTGGTTACATTTGTAAGGAGGCACCGGGAAGTCCGCTCCTCTTGCCTTTTAGTTAAAGGAGTGCCATAATTCATTTGCAGTGGAGCCCAATTCATAATTTATGTAGGCCATTGAGTTATGAATGTTGTGTGGCATGTGGAAACATATGACTTGAAAGCACTTGATTTCAAGGACACTTGTGCATTGTATTTTGAAAATGTAAATTGTAATTAAAACTATTCAGACATTTGGAATTAACTGAATTAACAATTTTTGCTTTGAGTTTTTGTATTTCTCTGGAGCTGGTGGTTACTGAAAAAGTGTATGTATGTTTGTGGACACAGTTATTTCAGCTTTCGCCGTTTTTCCTCCTCTTCCGTTCTGCCGCTAACATTTAAGGACTTTCATTATGGCGTTCTCTCAGTACCTTAACTACATTTCACTCTGGAATAATGTGGAATGACGTGGCCGTGACTTCACACAAGTTGGTAAAGATAACATTTGTCATACTGGAATTGAGGTTTAAACCCCCACAGCCAGTAACTCCAGGGTATGTTGGTGCAGGGCACGAGGAGTTGTTCTGGCCATAAGCAGAGACAAAGTCAGGCCCTGTTAGTGGCCACAGTTCCAGAAAGACACCGTCTGCACCCTTGAAAGAATTACTTCCTGCAGTAGGTTGCAGAAATGAAAACTAAATATGACGTAATTTGAATCGGCAAATACTGCCTATGGGCTGTGTCCACTCTTTTTCATGTGTGTTTAATTTCTTCTGAAATCGCCAGTTTATACATGTTTCCGATCTTTTTACTTAAATTAGGAGATACCTTCTTCCTTCCATATCCCTTCCAATTCACTGTTTTAATCACATGAGCTATAGTCTGAGCTACTGACAGTGTTGTTAAGGAAACGACAAAAACCAAGTGTGTTGACTTTATGTACTATATAGTCATTTGTAGTCGTTCAAATGTTGCGTACATTATTTTAATGTATATTACCTCAAATATAGATAATCTATTTCCCCCCAACCATGATCATCATGCATGGTCTTGTGAAATCTGGTTTTGTGAATTTAAGCAGGATCAAGATTTAGATGTGGGGCTTAAAAAAGATTGGTAGATCACTTAATTTCCAGTTCATAGTACATAAAAATCTATAAGAAACAATAAAGGGCAGTGAAATGTTAATTTACCAATTTTACGGTGTTCATTGATGAAACGTGTTACTGCTTCACGTATGCCCTCTGTGTTTGAACGACGCTTGTGTAACACTTGATAATTGCTTTCCTCACCAAGTGATGGCGGGAGCATCACCTCATATTCGGTATGGAGTTAGAGATTTAAATTAGTTAACATTTCGTAAAAAATGCTCACGACAGGAATTTTATTTACTTTGCTTATTCCAAGTAACCAGTCGATGTCGATATCAGATTTTGTATAGTAAAAATGTTAGCAATTTTTACGCAGTGCATTTATTTTTCTCTTCCAGCTTTTTGTTTTCATCTCATGCGGTAAAATGTGGAATTAATTCGAATACGAGATGTACAACAATCAGTATATCAACACGCGTGTGTTAAGGGCAACGTTCCTTTGCGTACACAACATTTGGGGCTAGAAGGAACACGGTCCTACCTCCCAACACGCACTACGAGTGCAATCTTTCTGAACTGTGGTTGGCCGATCGATCACGTGAAAAGCGCATGCTTGTTTCTGCTGGACTGGAAGCTAGCTGCTGCTTGTCTGCGCGTCAATACTGTGGTTCAGAGTTCGTGCGCGCTGTTAAGTGAGTTTATTTATCAGTTGCTTTCGCCCAATTCATGTGTCGGTGAATTCGAATATAGGATATAGTTTCTGTTACGGTCATCAGGAGGCAGCATAAAACTAACCTAAGTTGTTATTGTATCAGTTGTACAGGCAAAATTGTGAGTGTCCTTTTTTGTGTGTGATCAATTGGAAGACTTTTCTCTACTGTATTTTTACGCTGCGAGTGTAGATTGCCAAGTTTGCTTCTCTACCGTATTATTTTGTTCGTTGACGTGGTATCATTCGCGTTTCAGGTTGGAAGTGTTATTAAACTTGAGACAGAAGTGTTCACACCCCGTCTCTGAAAACGCAGACAGGAAGGACACGCAAGGTAAGCTTATATTTAGTGCGACAGAAACCCAGCCATTATTACAGTGCAGTTGAATTGACAGCAGTGTGTGTGGTGCTGAAATTGTGTTGTATCGGAATGTGTAGAGTTGTAGGCTTGAATGTAGTTTCACAACAGTGTAACTTTTGCATGAAGAATGTGACACACAGGCTCAAGGCAGATCTCTCGCGTACTGTCCTGTAACTGGTAATGTTGGCGAGGGTTAACCTGTGCCTTCACTGACCAAATATTTTCTCATATGCAACAGCTGCAGCGTGACAATTGTTTTATTCTACCTATGAATGACCAAGTTTGTTACGTAATTGATTACGACGTAAAGTTAGATCATGGTAGGATGATTGATTGATTGCCGTGGTCACGACCTTGACGTGCTCAGAACCCACAACCTAGCGCGTTGATATTCTGTACGCTTGATGGTGAACAATTTGTTTCAGGAAGTGAAGTGAAGATTGCCCTCCGTGTTCCTGGTATGTATTTCAGTTGGTTCGGCTCGACTCCCGCCGCCAGAATATAAAGAGTTCAATCCATTAGTATCAAGCTGGATTTCTTGGAGACAGGAGTTGAAGGCGATTCGATTTGTTGGCCCAGGACAGGGACCGGTGGAGGGCTTTGGTTAATTCGGTGATGAACATTCGGGATCCTTAAGCAAGCCAGTTAGTTAGTATCTGTTTATGTGTGTGGCGTTTCTCCAGTGTTTTCGTCAAGGCAGAAAGAGCGATTTTCAAGCAAATTTACGAACAAACAGTAACACTGGTGTGTTCTCAGACCGATTTGCAGTGTCCGCATTCAGTTGTAAATTCTGTAATGTTTTGATGCATGAAGTCGCATTGGGCATGTAAAAAATCGTATTTTAATTTTCTATGTGTATTCAGCGTATATAGATACAAGAAAATCTTGAAAATGCTATTGAACTGGTTACTTTTGAGTTGTTCATTACTGTATTAGGTCTGTTTATGAAAATAGTTGGTAGATAAATCTGCCTGATATGCCCCAGTTCCAACGGTCAAATCGGCTCGAGAGTTTTGTGGTTTTGACAGAGTAGCCACCCGCAATGTTTAGCCAAAATTATTGCGACGTTATAAGAATAAATACAGAATAGACAGAGGTTCTAGGCCTGTTACCTGAAACTAATTTGAAATTATTGGCAGGCAGATGGAATTATTTGCAGTTCTGTACAAGTTGGTGGTGTTTGGGTTCTTATTAAGCTGTTTTGGTCATTTGCCCCTGTGAGAGCGCTTCTTTTCACCCCCATACAATAAAACGCTGCACCGTCGTTCGGTTCAGGATACAAGCCTGGAGTTCAAGCCGCAACAGCGGATAATTCAGTGGCCGATTCTGGGACGGGCTTCCGCAAAGGCCGACGGATTTTCAGAATAAAGGGAACTCGGGGCGTCGACTTCATGAAGCAGACTCTTTCTTGAGAAGCTGGTGGTCGCTGAACCAGCGAAGAAGATCCCCGCCCATTTTGGAACCCGGAGGTTCATTACCTTGGTCGCAAAAGCCTGCCACACGCATTCGACAGCGTCTTACCCTCTTTCTTTTCAGATACATTTTGCGTTACATACGCTGCTTCAAAGAATCCACCCGCCATTTCGTAACGCAGTTTTTTTACGGTGACGATTTCTCAGCTACCAGCATGCAAGCCCCTTGTCGGCTGTCCGCGACTGTTTATTTAATGGTGTGAATTTACAGTTTCCCTCCTTATGATTAGGGCGTCAGAAGACGTTGTGATTTAATTTCGATAAAGATGAATGTTTACAGCAAGCCGTTAGACCATGCCCAACAATGAACACTGTTTAGTGGAATTACACTCGGAAATTACTGCGTTGATCAGAGTTTTTAAAAAGTCAGTTGTTGTTATCATTTCGAAATTGTTTGTTTGTTGAGTCTGCCTGCTGGTCTCGCAGTCCGTTAAACCCGCCACGTCTTTCGTTGATTACATTATACTTAAGTTTTGGCACGGCTCCCGCCTCAGACGGTTCAGATTCGACGTTGCTTGCAGGGGCGAGTCCAAAACAATGGCGTGTTTGTATCCGCACGCCCTTGGCGTATCTTCTGCTGTAATTTTGTTAATCCTCCCTAATCCGTTTTTCGAAATGCCAGTCGCACTTCATCCGTACAGTGTTGTCACGTCGGATAGCCCTGAATCTGTTTGGTTTGACGCGTGTGTTTTGTTAGTGCAGATGGTAATGACAAAGTCAAGCTGACAGCCTTTCGCTCCTAGTTGTTTGTGTATTTTGACCTCCAGTGAACGTAATTGTTCTTTGATTGATGGCAAGTAGCAGCAGTGATGCATCCATTATGGTAAAATGACGTCTCAAATTGGGTTGTGGGATGTTCCGTAGTTGCAGGTTATATTTGGCACGGACCTGGGTCGAGCGTCAGTCGCCTTACCGACGTTTCGGTTGTGTTTCTCCCGGGGGGCGAATCATGTGGTGGTATCTGTAGACAGGCCACAAAGGCCGCTTCCTTTCGAATCCATAGGCCCCGCCCCTGTTTCTCAGCGAAAGTTTTGCGCGTACAAACCGGCCCAAGACTCAGAACTCTTGCTTTCTTGTGAAATGGGTCGCCCGGTGTAAATATAGCATCGCTGGGCCACCGCGCCTGCGAAGACCACCGTCAATGGTAAACAGAAAAGGGCCCAGATGTTGGTCGGTGACTAGAGTTGACGTGGAACGAGGCGTGTCATTTGCATCCAGCGCCTCAGAACCGGCCCTGATTGTCGCGTGAAGAGAGAACTGGGAGTGCGCCGGTTCGGTGCCTGCGTACCGTCTGGCTTTCTGTAATGTGACGTCTCAGCAAACTCGTATTTGCCCCGAGGAGGTGGGCGTGGATCGGATAGCTGCAGTTCTGAGACACGTCTGCCGTCAGCTGGAGAAAACCGCGATGCCTTGAACAAGGACGCGAACTTTTCAGATATTAACAAAAAACAACAACTAAAACTCTAGCAGTCGGCATCGTTGCACAACTTCCCCGTGGAAGTGAAACCTGTTCTTTCGAGAATAGAGACAATTACAGAATAAATGACTTTGTTATTAAACACTCGTCCAGGTGGTGGACCAGTTCTCGCTTTACGTTCCCTACCTGCCTCCTCGTAAGTAAAGAAATTTGACGTGCTGAAACGTCGGCTGCGTGGGGCAACGAGGTGGCCGGTGACGGCCGAGGCAAATTAAAATTGTCGTGAATGATTCGAGGATCTCTGTTGAACTTTAATTTTGTTTTGTGTTCCACAGGTCCTAATGTCCCACGAGCCCTGGTCGTTGCCGCCAAAAGATGGCTTGTACGACCCCGTCAACGAACGAGACGCGTGTGGCGTTGGATTCATCGTGGCGATTGACGGACGGCGATCTCACAAGGTAAAAGAACTCGTTTTCATGGCCAATACGAAGAAGTGAGGACGGACTTTGTCATCCAAACAAATTATCGTCTTGTCGATTGAACTGTTTTGTTCCTCAGTGCAGTAATTGAGCTCCGGCAGTGTCGATATATATCGCGTGACATATCGATGTGTCGACAGCCTCCGTTAAAGAGACGTCACATGTGCGCGCGCAGTCTCTCCTCTTTAAGGATGTTATTGCGTCGTGCGATGCGGTCGAGTGCCACAATTTTATGGGGACGCGGCCAAAACCGAGCGTAGTTTTTGTCCGTCGCAAACGTAATTCTGTTCTCGGGATTGTCTTAAAAGGGCGAGGACGGACATACGCCGGAAGTGACGGTGCAGGGGGGGGAAGCCGTTTTGCTCGAAACCGATCACGTGATCCATGCTGTAAAGATGACGCAGTTGGCCCGGGCCGTCGTAACGTGCGATGAAAATCAGACCTTTGATATCCTTGATCGCGGCTGATTTAAACCCTCCAGGACTCGCGTTGTGAGCGCAGCGCAACATTTTCAGTAAAAGTCTGATAACTCTTTGTAGGAATTGTTTTCTCTCCTGTCGCTTTATCTATGTTAAGAGGAAACTGCAAAACCGAGATCGAGTGCTGGCAGCTATTTTTTCCAGATAATTTATTGGGTGATATCACAAAATTCACTAATAAAAACTGGATAAAATTAGAGAAAATTATTCTAGGCAAAGAGACTGCTTAGAAACTTCAATCGATGAACTCGAAGCTTCAATTGGACTTTTATGCAATGTTTTAACATTTTATTAGTCTCTTAATCGTAACTCCTTAAATAAATTAAAAGTTAGTAATAGTCTGATTAAGTATTTGCTCAATTGATAGGTTGCGACGCGGCGCTCACACGCGAGTCGGGACGTTCCAAAGGTGGACGCGAGCGCTGGAGCGTGTCTGTCTCTGCGTTATCGGCGATGTTACAAATCCTTATCTCAGACTCAGTAGCCTGTCTCGTGTACTTTGGCGTCCGAGGCAAGGCCGCGTGTTTGCAGAAGACTTCGGCGGCGAGGAAAGTGTCCAAACTATTACGTCAGCCTCCAGTTTGCTTCTACGCCGTTCTAGACTTTTTCCTGCTACTGATTGCAAACAATTGAGAAGCTTCGAAAGGGCGGAGGTGACTCACAGCCCTGAGGAGCGCCTTGGGATAACCACGACATCCGACCGTCTGCCCTTGCTCATGAACAAACGAAATGTTACATTGTCGTTGGGACGGTCGTTTTCAGCAGTCGCTCGAGGAAAAGTTGCACGATGGAAAATATAGGAACAAAACGATAAAGCCTGAAGGCCGGATTGCGTTGCGGTCCCTTGTCGAAAGTACCGAGTAGCAATGCACTCAGTTCGCGCCTTCCGATGAATATCTTTTTTGCTGGTCATTGTACCCTGTTATGTGGGCATTTGCCGCGTTGTCGGAACACGATCGCACAATCCGACCTCGCCACTTTCTCTCTAAACGCGTTCGGTTGCCGACTCAGACTAACAAACAAACTAACAGGTTTGTTGTGTTCAGCTTTCTTCTGTCTGGGATCAAACCTGAGCCAGAAGGGTGGAAGGCTTCGTGCGAAGACGAAAATCCTTGTCGCTGCCGAGAATCGAACCCGGTCGTTCAGCGCGAACACGCGAAATTTTGAAGTGGACTCACGTCTTTGGGGCCTCGACGTGTTTGTGTCAAAGTAAACTTCCTTTGTCCCGGCAGCCCCACATTTCGTACGTGAAAGAAAACAGGAAATTTTTCCATTACGAACATCGACTGTTCAAGGACGTAATTCCTGATTACAGCGACGTTTCCACGAGACTCGTGATTGTCCGTTGCTACAGCAGGTGGTACGTATAGTTACCACCGGGCTTTAACATTCTACCACTGATGTAATGAGTGTCGCTGTGCGTTGGCGCAACTTTTGTACACCCCTGTGAAGGCTAATTGCTGAATGTTGACGTTGCCCGACCGAATTATCGGGTCTTGCCGATTAAGGAGCTCGAGAAACGGGTGTTCCGTTCGCTTACGTAAGTTTGTCGGTTCTTATCGGCGTGAAGGCGAAGTGGAAAGCTCATTAAGCACTCGAGTCTAAGTAATTGAGAACAGTTCAGTCTCTGGGCCACGGGACGGACAGACGAGGTTCGATTCCCGGCAGATGATCGGATTGTCGTTCCCTTCCGCCTGGTGCCAGGTTAAGAAGGCGTGGAGCCTCACCTCCATGAACGACCGGACGACTTGGTGTCGGTCCGTAAATTTTACTCCCGCCTTCGTATTGAGCAGGAGCGTCCAAAATGTTTTTTCGGCCCCACCGCAAATGTTTGCGAGGAATTCGACCCCGGACTTGTCGTCCAGTCCTTACGTAACTCTGTCGTAGTGGAAAGTTTCAGTCGCGAAAACTGTAGAAGTCGACAAGCTTGAGGCTTTGCTCTTGTCTGTAAATTATCGGTAACCCCGCCCTCCCACTGAAACGAACTTAGAACCGCGTATTACGTATTTTTGTCGAGTGAAACTGCCGTTTTGGGTTTCATTTTCCGACGCCCGGGCGCAGGTGGACTCTCATCCTCGGCCACCAGCAGCGTGTACAGAGCCGCGAGCCGGTCCCTGGTAGATCTTTCCCGAAGCACATCGGAACGTCTGCAACCTGGAAGACAAAAACATCTTCGGAGATTTACGCGTCGCCTTCCGAGCGCCTCGCGTTGAAAGAACACGAGGTCGTCTCTGATTGCGCTGTTGACGATCAGAAGTCCAGCCACTGACCTTGCCGCAATGCAAATGCTCGCTCTATTATTAGACCCAGGCGTTCTTTTCGTCGGCGATGAACTGTGGGCTGTTGCAGTGAGAAGTCAAACACCGAGTGGACAATCGCGTAGTTACGCGAATGGCGGGGCGTGGTGGCCGACAGTCACGTGGTTCGTTTCGTGAAGCCGCTGGCGTCTACAGTAGCGCCGTTCTTGTTCCAGATCGTCCGAGACGCCGAGAAACTGGCGATGCGGATGAACCACCGCGGGGCCTGCGCCTGTGACAACGACACCGGAGATGGCGCCGGGGTGCTCACGGCAATCCCGCACGCTTTTTATGCCCAGGAACTGAGGTGAGCGTTCCCTTCAACTTTTGAACTCGAAAATCGAGACCCGACTTCGATATATTTGCCTCACGTACCGACCGGGCGTCTGTTCTTTTGCAGGGACCAGCAGAGCGTGGACTTGCCTCCTTTCGGGCGCTACGCCACGGGGATCGTGTTCCTGGACAAGACGCACCACCAGGACAGCGAGGCCGCCTTCGCCCTGCTCGCAGAGGAATGCCAGCTGCAGGTGCTCTGCTGGCGCACGGTTCCGACGGACAGCGCCGGAATCGGGGACGTGGCCCGGAACAGCGAGCCCTTCATGAGACAGGTGTTCGTGACGGGAGACCAGGACGACGAGACGCTGAAACGTCAGGTAATCGGGACGTGGCGACTGTGGAGAATGAGACATTTCCTCTTGTGTCGTAGAACCCCAAAGCCCTGTCTCCCACAGGTTCAGTTGTCTCTGCGTGATCGCTTCCCGGGGGATGGGCCCTGACTCATCTCCAGCAGACGCTTGTCGTGGGCCACGTTTTCGAGAGGCCCCGGCCCCGTTTTTAATAGACGAGGGACCCAGAAGACAGTAGTTTTCAGTAAACTTCTTTAAAGTGTTTGTACACGTGACCATTTGATACACGGAAGGGAAAGTGTTCATGAACTAATGATGTTGTTGAAACCAGTAAATAAAACCTTTATTAGTGCAGTTATTATTTGTCGTGTTATGTCTTGCTCTGAAAATGCGTCGTACGATGACTGGGGACCGCCACACTCTCCGTGGAGGTAACGCGCTAATGTCGTTCTCTTTCTGGCACTAGGTATTCGTTCTCCGCAAGAGAGCCACCCATCAGATTCCGCGGCCTGGGACACGGTTTTACGTGTGTTCTTTGTCGCTGTACGTTGTGGTGTACAAGGGACAGTTCACGTCGGATCAGCTCTGGACTTACTTCAAAGATTTGAAGGTAACGGGCACGACGAGACGCGTGCGATCGGAAGCATTTACAATTTACATTGTTCTGTGTTGTTTGCGTTCCTGTGACCTTAATTTTCTGTTTCATCCGTGCGTCATTTGCAAGTTGTAAGTCGCTCCGACGGTCCTCGGAGGCAAGTACCCAAATGACGCCAAAGCCGAGAGAGTTGATCGTGGCGCAGATGTACGAGGAGGTGGACATTCTGAACCTCTGCGCTGGGTATAACATTTTAAACGTGGATGTACATTATATTATAAATCGCAAGCGCTGGAACTCTCGTGTGAGTTCGACGGCGTTATTTGCTACTTTGCGCATGTTTGGTGCTTGCATTTGGTGATACGATGATGATAAGTATTGTAGAGTGACAGTAAAGGACTGAATTTTGATTTTTGGTGATTCTTTATCCATGGAGTCAGTTCCATTTTTAGTTTATGAGATGTTGATGACTAACAGTCGCACGTGCCTTCATTTACTTACAGTCGCCTAATTACGACACTTACTTGGCGCTGGTGCACACCCGATTCTCAACTAACACGTTCCCTAGCTGGGAGAGAGCGCATCCTTTACGGTAAGCACTTTTGTATTTAACGCGAGTCAAGTTTTATTTTTGTTCAGATTTAGCTTTTGTTTCGTTCTTGCTAGTAAAATGGAGCACGTTTTTAAATCCATCGTTAATTCTGCGTGTCGTCTAAAATCTGTTGTGCTTGAGAATCAACTGATGATTGATTAGAGCGTGATTTCCGTCTTCTGCGGAAGAGTGTTTGTTATGCCATTTCGTCGCTGTTGATAGGTGAACAGCGGGTGGACTGGAGAATTAAAACATTATTTTAATGTCGAGCCTATGCATTTTTCTTTTTCCAGGAAGTCCTTAAAAGCTTGGTCCTTGTAACACTTCCTTTACTTGGTTATGTGCGCAAATCCGCTGTGCAGTTCTACTGAAAGTTACGTCGCCCCCTCCATACTTTGCCCTGCGTCACGTTGAATGTCGGAAAACTCGCGTTTCTGAAGTGAATTGGGAGCGAAGCTACGAGTATTGAGAATGCTGACGTAATGTAGAATTGAGAATGGTCGTGTGTGTTGTGCAGGTGCGTGGCTCACAACGGAGAAATCAACACACTTAGGGGCAATGTGAACCTCATGAAGGCACGTGAAGGCGTCATGAAAAGCTCTGCGTTTGGTAGCGACCTGAAGAAGCTGTATCCCGTCGTAGAACCCAACCTGTCCGATTCGGGAGCCGTCGATTGCGTGCTGGAATTCCTCGTCATGGCTGGAAATCGACCGATGCCCGAAGTTAGTTTTCTTTTCTTTTCTTTGGTTTAGAGGACGAGCAAAGTTCAGTATCACCAGGTTTTTTTGGATTGTGTCCGTCGTAGGGTATTCAGAATAGAACACAAACTTCTCAGAAATTTGATCTTTTTCCTCCATCTGGTGAGAAGGTGGAACGTACCCAATCACGTGAGTCTTAATCGCTGGACCCTTGCTTCGTTAGTGGACACAAATTTCAGTTGCGTACCCAATCACGTGAGTCTTAATCGCCGGACCCTTGCTTCCTTAGTGGACACAAATTTCAGTTATTGAGTTTTTAGCTTTGTTTTAAGGCTTGAATTGCGAAGGTGCTGTCGAGGCATAGACATAAACTTGCATCAGATTGAAATGAGTGCTTTTGGCCTTACACTCAGATACCAATTTGCCCTCATTCTGTTAGGAACAAAACTGGGTGAGTTCCAGGATATTTAGAACATTCCGCGGAAGAGAGACGTTCTTGGCGCGTCCGCCGGCCTTCCGGCCCGTAGCCACGCGCGTCGAGAACAGTGCTGTGAGTTACGCTCGGGCTTTATGAGGTGTTTCCGTCCGATAGGCCGTGATGACTATGGTACCTGAGGCGTGGCAGAATGATCGGACGATGCCCGCTGACAAGAGGGACTTCTATCACTGGTCTGCCTGCGCGATGGAGCCGTGGGATGGACCCGCACTACTCACGTTTACGGACGGACGTTATGTCGGTGCCATTCTGGACAGGTGAGGTTAAGAGTACGAGGTATGGCCATGATTTCAAAGATGTCATAATCTGCTGATATTTGGGAAGTCCTTGTATGCAGCTTCCCACCTTCGTGCGTTCAGTTTTGTAACTGAAACTTAATCCTGGTGACTTTCTATTGTAATTTCTCCAGTGATGTTCCTCATTCTCTTTATGGTTTTGTAATTCACTCTACCCGGTACTTAAACGTATCTTCTGACGTATTTTGTCATTTTTTCTGCTGGTTCAGGTGTGGGGTAACGCATGAGTTCGATGTGAGAATAGTTCGTAGGTATTCCACATTTTTGTTCAATTTCACGTAGAAAAATAGCCGCCGATATGCGCTCGCAACTCAGGTTCTGATTGTTACATCAGTGTCGTAGCAATTAAATAATTATTCTTGATTACTCAGAAAGTTCCTTTGCGAAATGTGTTTCATAAAAATTGGATTTTTGTTAATTTACCCTTCATTTTGTTCACACTGAGATACAGCACTGGTACGCAAGATACTCACGGCTGCTAGATGCATTCACTTTCAGTGGCATTAAACAAAATGCTAAAGCTGAAATGTGTCTTGGTGGGATTTATGGCGTCATTTGTCAGTATAATGAGCAGCTTACTTAATTTCCCTTGGGTTGTTTTAGGAATGGTTTGCGTCCTTCACGTTTCTACGTGATGAAGGACAACGTGATGGTCATGGCATCAGAGGTCGGAGTCTATGATACGGATCCCAGCAACGTTCTTCTCAAGGTGTGTTCAAACTGACATGGACCTGTCTCTATCTCGTAAATAGTTCTTGAATTTCCGTGACAAATGCAAAACTTTTCGTCTAAGCTCTAATAGCTCTTTTTGAAATGATTGAGTTTTAATTAATTTAAGGCTCGTAGAAAGTCTATGTACTTGCATGTCTGCAATTTTTGAAGTTGGAAACAAAATGGATGAAATGGATGCTGTATGTATCCCCGAAGTGTTGGTATCTACGTATGAGACCTTAGGGTGTTACAAGCACATGGACCACCTGTAACATTTCTATCTCCGTGAGAACCTAATCTGAGTTTCCGTCATACTGGTGGTGTAAGTGGGCCTCAAAGTGTTTGCACATTTTTTGGCCGCGTAAGAATACGTCTTCGTCTGTTTTAGAGCCGGTTGAAACCTGGAAGGATGTTACTCGTTGATACAAAGGAGAGGACGATGATCCAAGACGTAGAAGTGAAGAAAAGAATCGCCGCAAGTCGCCCACACACACTCTGGCTCAAAGAGCAGGTACTGACAGATACTAAACTGTTTTGAGTTTATGTTTATTCTGATTGCATTGTGCCCCCCAATGCTGCAAGAAGTTCTGTTCAGGTAGTTTTAAATTCGCCTTTCGCGTGGCCGTTGTTGCCATTGCAATTGGATTTGATGTTGTTTTTGTATTTCTGTTAACATTCTGGTAATTCCAGTTAATGCACCTTCTGTATCCTCATTTAAGCTTGACATTCCACAAACTTAATTTTATGACCGTAGTGTTCATAAAAAGTCAACTACGATTATGATAGAAATATTAATTAAATTTAGTATTTAGTACTTAAAAGTGAAAAGATGTTTTTATATAATTTCAGCCCCAATTATTAGAAGGTATTTTTTTAACCACAGTGTTCTCAGTTATTGTTCGTTGCTGTTCGCAAGGCTCGGTGCCCCTCTGTACTTTCCTTTAGATATATATGAAGATATTATCTGGTGGCTCTGTCAGTGAGTGGAGGTGACCCTGATGTATCAGCAGGGTGAGAAAGGAAGCGTGGGTATCCATGTCTGACTCGGTGCGGTGCAACATTCAATTTGCGTGGGATGCAGATGACGTGGCTCTAGAAAGTTAGTTTGGTGGGGTTTTTTCCTCCTTATATGAAGTGTAATTCTGCTAGGAAGATGAGAGAAAATTCAGAAGAAAGATTTCTCGTGCTTGACATCTCTACAGAAACATTGCCCAGATTCATGTCAATAAAGCAAGGACAACTGGCACGTTAATAAGCGGGAAACCCGGAGCTAAGAGAACTAAAGTTGGGTCAAAACAGCGCTTGGCTTGAACGTTTGAACCGTTAGCGTCTTGATGCCTTGCTCAAGAAACAGGAGAGAGAAAAGTGTCTGAGAAGCGCTATGAAGTTTTTGAAATCGCTGCCTTACAAAAGTAGTCGCAGTTTTGCTGTCGCCGTGGCGGACTGAACAGAATGGTGGCGTGCGGCAGTGTCCGTGCAAAGTGGATGGCACCCACCAGATATATCCTTGTATTATCACACTTCCGTTACGTTAAGGTGGAAACCTAAGTCTGACTTGACACAAGCCAGTAATTTGAATTTGTATGTTCACATTTTAATGTCTGATTATTTTTTCCTCCCCTCATGTTGCTGGCCCTGGTTCGAATAGGGGGTGAGTGTAAACCAGCGTTATCAGGATTTTACAGTTGTAATTTGCTTGTTTTACCACTTTTGCCATATTTGATATACCAGATTTATCTTGCAGTTACGTAAGCATGTGTTTGGTAGAAATGTGTGTGTAGACACAATTACCAGGTCTCTGGTGGTTATGGCCAGCGGCTTTGCGTCGTCATTTAAAGTGTAATTCTCTCGCAGACATTTGATCCTTGTAGCTGTTAATTCTGTCGGGTTCAAATTCCAACTACGCGTTGCCGGGCTCAGCATAGTGAGTCCGCTAGCTCGTGTATCGCAACAGAAATTGGTCTGCCAGGAAAGTAATTTAATATGTGAATTTCTGTAGCGGTATCCTGGTTTGTGACCGCACTCGTCTTTGGTCTGAAGACCGTCTTAAGAGGTCTATAACCACCTTGGACTTTGAAACAGCACAGTTGAAGTTGTCGTTCACATTTTACGTGGATTTGTTTTTGTACCTGCATGCACCGCAATATCCCTCCTGGTTTGGGTGTGTGAGCTCTCCATTGTAAAGGGATAAATGTGATGAGGCTGTGAAAGGGAAGTTTATATCTGTGGCTGGGATGCACGGAGATGCAGACACAAATATGTTGAAGTTACTTAGCAACGTGACATCTTGAAAATGTGTAGTTGAAGGCTAAAAGTGATATTTGGTTTCAATTCACAAGTAAAATTGAGAAGAAATTGGAAAAAATACCAAAGTTACCAGTTTCGTGTAGTAATGAAAGTACATACCATGGGCTGTAAAACAAGAATGTCCGGTTGCAGTGACCCGCTTAAATAACGTTTGATCTATAATTGCTTTAGCACAGGGGTGGCCAACCCGCGGGCCGCATGTGGCCCGCCTTGAACATTTTTCCGGCCCGCGAGATTCATCACACTTTTACAAAATATATTTATATTTAATTTTTAGTGCTATATATTTCTTTACAATGTACGCTTAGTATCATTATTATTATATTATCTATGTTTACACTATGTTTTTTCACTCCAAAAAAATGTCTATAGTGTATCTAAATCTAATATGGGGATATATAATTTTATATGTGGCCCGCGGAGTTATGATGCATTTCCAAAGTGGCCCGAAAGATCATTTGGGTTGGCCCAACCTGCTTTAGCGATTTGGTCATATCGAAGTAATTGTAACAGAAATCTAGTCTTACCCGTCTGAGTTAATTCAGTATTTGCGGTCGGCGCGTTTGTTTCATGTTGACTGTGCACAGTACATGGCACAAACTTCTTTCGTAATGGAGCGTCCATGTAATTATTAAAGGGACTCGAGATTCTGATGTAAATATAGGCACAGCTTACAGGTCATCAGCTCATCTTCAGAATCAGAAAACATGAAATCTTTCATGCATGATCTATGTAGTGTTTCAATAGCCTCTTGTTGGATAATTAGCAAATTAAAAACATTACGCACTCCATGTCCACAAAAAATCACAAAACTTTGAAATCACCGTTCAAATGTCTAATTGAGGGTGGCTTTAGTAATTTTGTTAGAAGTAACTCGTCTGTATCTGCTATGCGGTTGGTGAAGGAATGCATTTAGAACCGCACTTGAGATTGATATATTTCTTTTTGTAATCCCATTATCTCTGGCTGGATCAAGTACCAAGTAGACATTCATGTAGATTGATATTCTTGCTTATCATTGTCTGTAAATCACATAAGCCATTATTTCAATAGAGTGAATTTTAACTGAGACGTACGCATTTTCATTATATTTTTTTGTCATAATCTCGAACAAATTTGACAGAATAGCAATGTACTTCTCTTTCTCATCAGAAAATTATCATTTTTTTGATATTGCGTATCAGAGCTGTGAGTGGTTGACTCTCTTCTTCGGAATGGGGTATGATCCCAGAACTATTGCTTTTTATGTACGGGAGGTAAGAACATGACAGAGTTTAATTGTATTTGAGTGAAATATGCAGATGGTGATGGAAAAAGGATGTCTTACAGTTTGTGATCACTTTTTGTAAGAAGGTGACTGTCTTCTGGGACGTTGCACCATATTTCAGAAGATCTTACCACCACCACCACCACCACCACCACCATCATGGATATGAGCCTTGTCACACTGATGATGGCGGCAGTAAGATTCCCTGAAACGTCAGTCCCACTTCTAAAAATTAAAAAAAATTGATCTTGTGTTGTTTATGCATGAGAGTAGATTAGACTATCATAAAAATAATTTGAAGTTGATTGAATCTTATTGATTGTTTCTTTTTGTAAAGCTAAATACTGTGATGGTGAGAGAGTTATGCTGTTTATTTAAGGCAGATTGGACAGTTTTCGTAACTACACATTAATGAAGGCAGCAGTTATTTCATATCTTAGCAAGATAAAATGCTCTCTTGAAACAGATGTAATTAATTTCGTGCGACTTGTCGCCAGATTCTGATGGCTGATCTTCGCGCAGAGCACGAAGGTATCAAGAAGAACGCAGTTGTGACCAATGGAAACGTTGAAGAAGTTGTTGATACTGTGGACACAGGGAGTGTGTATGGCATTACTGATGAAGGTCTTGCAAAAGTGTGGGATGGAGACAGAAGGCTGTCACTGTTTAGTTACACCATTGAGACGATCAGCTTCCTGTTACTGCCGATGATGCAAACGAAGTAAGTATTTCTTTTGAAAGTTCCAGTGTGTCGTGGAATATGGTAAATGTGACAGAGTTATGCCGGTTACTGTAGAATGATTAATGTGACTGCATTTCTCCCCTGTAGGAAGGAAGCTCTTGGGTCGATGGGTAACGACGCTCCACTGGCTTGCCTCTCGTCATTTCACCCGCTGCCATATGATTACTTTAAACAGCTGTTTGCGCAGGTGAGCAGATTCTGTTCGGCTTTCGCTTTCTGGTCGTAAATATGTTTTTCCCCCGAGCTATATGATCCTTCTCAGTGTTTGGAAGTAGATGCTTTGTGCTGTGATAACTGTAGCATTGTAAGAAAGAAGACATTTGGTATCTTGTGTGCACAATTCACCTCGCCGATTTCTTAAAACGCATTACTATTAACCGAGATTTAAACGCAGAAAAATAATTTGTCTAGTGGTTAGCATTTTTGCCCAGTGTACAGATGGTTTTAGGTTTCACTCTCAGTCCCTCTAGGTAAGTGCTATGATACATTGTGACTGATTGCTCTCACATCCTTAACTAGTTCACTAACCTCTGCAGTTGCCACAGCATTCTTAGGTAAATCAGTAAACAGAACAAGTACTCACCTTCGAAGGTTCTTAGGTAAATCAGTAAACAGAACAAGTTTTATATGTACGTCTTACTCAGCTTCGAAGGTGGAAATATAGAGATGCTCATTTCCTTGACTGTTCTTGTACCAAAAGAATCCATGTTGAGAGCAAGTTTTGCTTGTTGCCTTTCTAAAAAGGAGTTCTGTTGGACAAAGGCAGTCCCTGGCTCCAGAAATATTGTTAAATGAATTATCTCGTTGTTAATTTCTCTAGGTGACGAACCCGCCCATCGATCCATTCCGAGAGAAGGTCGTGATGTCGTTGAAGTGTCCCATCGGGCCCGAAGCCAATTTGCTGGAGCCGAGTGAAAAGCAGTGCCACCGTCTGTTACTGCCCCACCCCATTCTGTCGCTGTACGACCTGGAGGTCATCAAAGCGACCAGGCATCGAGGATGGAAAGTAGGCTCATTTGTAATTGTGTTTCAAATTATTGTTGGTCACATTTTATTATTTTGTTGTGATGAATTAAATAATGATTATGTCTGCTTTAAATTTGTTGGATGCAACCTCAAGCTTCTTTGTTCATAATCACTGATGTATTGACATAGTTTATACAAACTTTGTAGGAATATTTGTGAACTTATCTTTATACATACAATATATCATATTTCTGTCAAACTGAAAGTTGAACTAACATTTTTACGTGGCCTGAAAAAAATTGATAATTATTTGAAGACCTTTTACCATATGTCGTATGAGGCCAGTGTCACTCCCATTTCAAATTTTCTTTATGTTTATTCATTTTATGCTGATCGGTTGAAGCTGAAGCTTGTTTAAATGTTTGGTTTACGCTGTCAAGAAAACAACCTGTCCGCATTACAAAGATCAGTTGGTTAATGCTGTTTGTGGAAATGATAGTTATTGATTATTGAATAAGGTGGTACATATAGTTACCGCTGGCTTTTGAAGCTTTAGTGATGGAACGATGTCTTGGTCAGTGCCGAATGTCCCATCTCTCTGAGATAACAGTTTCAGTATTTCATCATTTTCTTGCAGACAAAAGTGATAGATATCACATTTGATACAGAGGAAGGACCGAAAGTTCTAGCAAAGGCTCTGGACAGGATCTGTGAGGAGGCGTGCAAGGCTGCGCAAGACAACTACCAGTTCATTGTTCTGTCTGATAGAAAGGCTGGAGCTAGCAGGTATTTTCTGTATTTTGATTTATCTAACGTGTGGGCCCAGCAGTTGGAGAGAGTGAGAATTACACAATCTTTGGCCGCTGATGATATGACCACACTGATTTGTTATGAATCCTAACGACCCTTCTAATTTTCCATTTGTTGATCAAGTGCTGAACTGTTTCCTGCTGGTTAGCAACGAGTGCCCAGTACCGGAGTTTTATTATGTTGCCCAATTGGATAATTTAATGTCGGCAACTTTGATCAATTATAAATTATAAGATGTTTAGCTTAAGAACTTTTAGTAACTGGTTTTCCATGATTGTAATCAGTTTTCTGTACATAAGTTCGGATCTTCTAACTCCACTGCGCTTACGTGCTTTCGTAACTTCCCGACTGCCAGCCAGCAACAATTTACCTTCATCTGAGCGCTGCCATTTTATTGTGTAACGACTCCAGCTATTAATAAATGCCACAGAAATGATTCTTGCATACATGAATAGGTGTTGAGTTTGGAACAGAAATTGCTTGGTTATTGTGTGCTTATAAGCAGGAATTTTAATGTCTGAAGAAATCTAATTTTTCTGCATCATTTGTTTAATGTCTGAAGAAATCTAATTTTTCACATATTGCATCATTTCTTCTCATCTCTGCCCTATCACTTTCTTAGTCTGATCTTGTCCAGAAACTTCACCTGAGTTGAATTGTTCCAGGATCCCTGTGAGCGTACTTCTTGCCCTGGGCGCCACACACCACTACCTCATCGAGGAGCGGCAAAGGATGAAAGTGGGACTCATTCTGGAGACAGCTGAAGCCAGGTGAGTATAATCAGTGTTCTAATTATAATTTTATAGTGTTGGTGGCTGTCTTCCGTGTTGTCTGGGAGAAGTTTATTTCGTGTGGCGTGGGCCAAACTGAAGGCATGAGTTTTAACCTACGCTTGGACTGACGGCTACAGAATTTGCACACCTTTTGCTCTGAGTAATATCTGTAACAGTTGGAATGTGGAAAAAGTGTGGGTTTCTCACCGTCACTGTTGGTCTCTGCAGAGAGGTGCATCACATGTGCGTATTGCTGGGATATGGAGCAGATGCTGTCTGTCCGTATCTGGTATTTGAAATATCTCAAGCCCTCCGGAAAGAAGGAGTCCTCGATTCTTCATTGACAGACGACGTATTATACAGAGTGAGTTTTATTTGTAGTAACTATTATATTAACTTTGCAGTTGAGTACTTCGTATTGCCGTATGTAATTGGAAGAGTACTGTTGAATTATTTAGAATGTTAAATCTTTATATTTGAGGGATCATTTGTAAAATTACTTCTGCCATTCTAAATGTGGACTTTCATTAACTTTGTTTTAAAAATATGATGATAAATGGAAGCAAATCAATTTCATGACAGTTAAGTCGGCATTTTGCGTTCATAATGATTGGCTGTTCGACGTTTAAGGAAGTTCACGTGTGTTATAAATAATTTGTTGGTTGAACATTTAGCATGTATTGATATTACTAAGTCTTACACCTCTTACAACTTAATTAAGTTCATGACTGGTGTACAGATATGTTAAAACATCATCACACCATTTACTTATGGTATTGATGGTGTTATTAAAAAGGCCTGACACATACAGTGGTTGGCGTGCCAAGTATGGTGCAGGTCTTAGTGTTTTATTTCTGTGGACAGAATTATTCAGATGCCATGGAGCGAGGAATTGCCAAGGTGATGGCCAAGATGGGTATTTCAACCTTGCAGTCCTACAAAGGAGCCCAGATCTTCGAGGCGGTCGGTCTTGCAGACGAAGTTATAGAAAAGTGTTTCAGAGTGAGTTGTTTTTACATAAAACAATGGTTATTTTGCGTGATTTTCGAACTGTGAATGGATCTAGAGCTGACTGTGTCTCTGTCTATTCACATGCTTCATTGCTGGACCAATTTGATGAAATTTGGTACGGTTATTATGCCATTGGAGGTCACACCACTGCTCTTTAATTTTCTACATTTGTTAATAACAACATAATTTATGTGTGAACTTCTGAGGTGGGAGTGACACTGGCACCACCACATATTTGGTCCTGAAATATTTGCGTGGCAGTAGATACTAATGAAACATGCGACACTTCTCTGATGTTGAAAAGTCTGGGATGTGTGGAAATCGGTTATGGCCCTCTGGGTTGCGATATTTTGTTAATCGCCGACAAGACCACATGGCACACAGCCCAGAAGATCAGAATTTGATACCTGCAATGCAGAACGTCAGATTTCAATAGATGTCAAGCCTAGTAATGTTATAGTCGGAGGCATTTCTGTACTCTCCCCCCTCCATAGGACATTTAAGAAAAGTGTACAATTTCTATGTTGTCAGTAGTGTTACTGTGCATGTGATGAGGTAAGTTTGATGAATACTGATCAGCTGAAACACTGCTTGCATGTTGCAGGGAACACATTCTCGCATTGGAGGTGTCACATTTGAGATACTTGCTAAGGAAGCGTTCGAACGGCACTACCTTTCCTACGGTGATCATACTTGTGACATGCTTGTGTTGAGGAACCCAGGCCTCTACCACTGGCGAAGTGGTGGGGAGAAGCACATCAATGATCCACTCAGCATTGCCAATCTACAAGTAAGATTTTTCTTATGTGAAACATTAAATCT